TCCGTCAGTTGTTGATTCATAAAATCGACTTGAATATGATAGATTGTCCTAGATGAAATTAGTTTAGCTGATATATTGGTTACTATTGTAATATGCACCATTATCCGTATCATTATCAAAGATCATCATCATACATATTGTTATCATTATAGGAACGAACTTGTCACAGAGTGCATTGACAAACCAGATCACAAACTGTCAAAAGTAGTGAATTGCAGTTATTGCTCAGTCTTTCAGTTAACCTGCTGAGCTAGAAACATTTAAGAACGCGTTTTGAACAACACGCCCCAAAGATTGGAAAAAAATGCATTCTCAAGATTTAGACAGTCACCATGGCCACGCAACAAACCACACTTCCGACGAATTTCCCAGTAGAGGGGTCTTGATTGGCTGGATGTTAGCGTTTGTCTTGGTTGGCTTTACAATCTTTATTTCTAATCTGGGTACCATTCTTACKTTTTACAAGAAAAAACCACTTCGCCGTCGTGGCGTGTACTGCCTCATCAATCTCGCAGTAGCCGACATGATCCACGGTTTTTTTTCCATGCTCTGGTTTTCAATTTACCTGGATTACATCAGTATAGATTTCTTGCCTTTCAAGCTCACAGATAATGGAATAAAATTACTAGCTGGACTAGTAAACACCTGCACTCTTGTCAATTCTCTCTTTTGCCTGCTTCTCGTTTCATTAGACCGTTTCTACGCTACGTTTTTTCCGTTTGCCTATCGCTCGACGTCCGTTAGAGCCTACTGGAAGGTTTTTGCGGTTACGTGGTCTTCAGCTTTCCTTTTCTCAACTGTCCCGGCTGGTTTCCTGGAATTTAATGTATACAGTCATGATTTATGGTTTGATAATCTTCACGTAGTGTGCTTGTTGTGTTTGTCTATTATTATTTTGGCCTACATAGCTACATTTACGAAGATTAGATGGCAAAATCGCAGTCAGACCCAGCAGAACCAGCCTGAAGAAGCGGTCCAGAAAAGAGAACGTCAAGAGAAGCATCTTGCCATGACATTACTCATTGTCACTGCCCTCTCCTTGTTGACATGGCTTCCCTTCATTATTAACCATGAAGTCGATATTGCAGTAAATATATCCTCAGGCCCAGGCAAACACCACTTGGAACTTTCAACAGAATTYATCCAGCTCCTGAATTCACTGGTAAACCCGGTAGTGTATCTATTTCGATTAAAGGAGTACAGAAGGTATATGTTCCAACTACTTATGTGCGCTAAACCTACAGTAGTTCAAAACCACGATAATGGAAATGGAGAATACTGTACAAGAAGAAGAACCGCAAACGACCGGCCTAGTGCAATAGCGGACATGGTTATCGCCATAGAACCGGAGAGAAAGCATTCCGTAGAACTAGCATCGGTTCATTAAAACGTAGCGTGCAAACACAAGCGAAGAGTGTCAATGGGGTTTTAACGATGCTCCATTTGAAAACTTGGGCATGCTTCAGGCGAATTATAGCCAACAATCGCAAGTTTTAATTACGACCATTCCCTGCCAACAGATCCAGAAAACGGATTTACTAAACTGACTCAAAGTTACAAACATAAACTTAAAAGATGCTGATTAAAACACATGGAAGGAATCCTGTCAGATTCAACTTCAGAGCTAAATAGTGTCCATGTTGTTGTCTGAGTTTTTCATGCCTGCTTGGTTTGTTGAAAATTCTATAATCTTATTTAGTTTCTGTAAATAGTATATTCTTCGAGTCACATCATGCACTGTAGATACGTCTTTTCTGTAAATAGTATATTCTTCGAGTCACGGCATCATGCACTGTAGATACGTCTTTCCTGGACGTCATCTATGTTCATTGGGGAAACTCCTGGGGAAACTGTATATGTTATATTTCAACCTAGTGTGAATCTAAATGATTACTACAAACTAGATATATGAGGGAAATAAATCGGTGAACTGTCAGTTCATTTCGTTCAATCTATAACTGCGGAAAACTAAGCCTATAAAAAAGCATGAGCACTCGTTCTTGAAGAAATATTCATTTAATATCCGTTCACAAGATGAGAGAAAGCCTCTTTTTTATCACTTCCTTCCGTCATTGTACCCACCCTACCCCACCCCTCCTAAAACACAACATGGCAGTGTATACCCCACGGGATCTCACCTTATGCGTAACTGGTTAGAAATTCTATCTTCTTGCCTTCATCACTTCTGTGACCCCGTCTTGTAAGCTACTTTACAAGTAATCTTATACGTCTTCCCCTGTTAACAACACGAAGAAAACAGAAGAAAAGGTCTTCAAGAAAAGACAAAAAGKGATCGTAGTGAACTCTATAACTRAGGTTAGTGTTTGGGTATTTTATTGTCTATTCTCAAACCCTAGATCAACGRAAAATGTCTTCAGGAATCCAAACGCTGAAGGGCTTTGTGCTGTGTGTTTTATTGAGATAATAGAGCTAGTAAGCGGTAATACTTGATAAACGTATCTTGAACTAAGGTGTTTTGAGAATTTATATCTAACTGAGAGATAAGACTTTTAGCTTTAACTGTGTTTCAGGGTAAGCATTAAAAACAATCAATTTCATCTCAGGAAATCGTCATTAGTTTATATCGTTTGTATATACTCGTAATAAAACTCAATAAGTTAAACGAGATATTTTAATCAAACCAGTTCCTTTGTACTTAGACTCATCACTCGAAGCACGCGCGTCCGTCGTTWTCGAAGTTGACATTCGGAAATATTTACTATGGAACGCAGAATGCCGACTCTGCTAGAACTGGACGTCATTCAAGTGAAAATTGAGTGCCGACTTCCGGTCGCTGTGTCTGTAAATATTTTTAAGAGCATTACAATATGGTAGTTTATACTGGGCCCCYAAGGTCTCTCCTTAGTTTATATAGTTCGTAAGTTATTCAAACAAACAATTAACGATTGGAAATAAACGTTTTCTGATAGCAAAATGATATGATTCCCTTTATAATAACTTCACATAGTCAATATACGAAAACAATCTCCTTTATATATTTCGTCATATAAAGTGTTTGATTMTACCGCGAGCGGGGCACCGTGTATGTTAGATGTTTTTGTGACTGCTCTAGGCGTACATTATGCCTTCKTCACACGCGAGACAGTTCCCATGTGTAACTGCTCAAGTTATTGTTCAGTTTAGACGCGCGAGTTCACGCGGGATCTGGACCTCGTGAAATGCCCTAGCCTGAGTATCAGGCTCTCTCGAAGGGGTTTGGGGCGGAGCGAGAAAGAGCTGCGTCAACAGCAATATAACTGTTGTAAAACCAAGATGTTCCCACACATGACCGGATGGTAAACTTAGACTTAGTTTAAAAAAAAGTGGTATTCAATGAATCGTCACGATCTATCAAATAACAGCCTCTTAGAACCGACCACCAGCTGCGTATTTGATCGCATTTTCGAGGTAAAAAACCTTCATATTCCAGAAAAAAGTCAACATTATCTCATCTACCAGGCGCGCGCGCAAGTTCACACGTAAAAATGACGGCTTTTTTAATCAAAGCAGAAAAAAGTGCTCCTATCATAGTAAGCCCGATGTAACTGTCCGACATATTGAAGTAGTTAAGGTATTTGTGAGGAGAAATTAAAGAGAAATATAATTACAAGCAAACATGCTTACATTGGCGGGGTACTRCAGCCCTCAGCATGAGACTTCATTGCTTTTAAGTGGTTGTTATTGCAAAGACAAGAGGGAGAAAAAGGAGGGAAAAGAGACAATAAGGAGAAATTTTGACTTCTACTTTTTAACTCTTATTGTTTTCATCTTTATTCATCTTAAACCGTTTGTATGTTAGAGTTAGATTTACTCGAAGTGACAAGGGGATTAGCGATTTCTAAGGTGCGGCCTCACGGGTTAATTGACTTCACTCCATTTCAGTGTTTTGTTACAATTCTTCTGACATGCAATGTTAATAATACGTCTTGCTCAATTGACAATGAAATAGTCAATATTACAGTTTACTAACTGCCAAAAATCTTCTAACCTGACAGCCTTACAGAYCAACGCAAGAGGTTATCCGGCCCAGCCCGACGCGTTCTCAATTCAAAATAGACAGCTAAAAAAGTCTTGAAATTAAAGAGGAAAAGAGAGTAGAGTGTAATAAGGTGAAGGAGATTGAGGAAAGTGCCCCCCCGGGGGAAAGTGTGAGGGACTCGTGGAGTGTGAGGGGGTTGCGACGGTATATATATATAGAGAGAGAGAGAGTCTCATGGGTATTTCGAGTACCCAAGAAGTAAAGTATGCATTAAGAATCCTATTCTTTSTTGATCATGATTGACATTTATATTATTATTCTAACTGTAATGACGTCAATTTTCTTTTAGTGACATCACTGAGAAATGGCGGGATTGAAGTGCATGGGAATTCTTGTTGCTATGGTAATTCACGTGACTCTATCTGATGGTAAGAATGATCGTACTCAGACTCCTACGTCCGTGAACTTTATATTATAATGGAGAAGGAACTTGCATATCGCGGGAAAAAATATCGCTTGCATCAGATCGTAACTAAAACCGGATCTCTGCAAAACRGACAGTTAACTGTCCTTGATATAATCGTTATCCTTCCATGTTCATATATTGAAYTCCAMGTGTTTTTATYATAGATATAAGTACTGTATGTTTGGATAGCGAGTTTCAGTGTGGAGACTATAAAAAGTCCTGTATTCATAAATCATGGCTGTGTGACGGGGAACCCGACTGCCCTGACTCAAGTGACGAAAGATATTGTCGTAAGTCATTGGAAATCAATCCGATTAGCCTCCTCCGCCGTCCTTGTTGGGCTTCCTTTGTAATGGTGGTTGCGGGGGAGGTTATGGAAAAAGAATCTATATTTCTATATGTGAATCATAAACTGTTTTTATTTATCGTTAAGATACTCCTGCTATGGACCCGTCCGACCCTCCTGCTGCAAACACCACGACTTTAACTGCTTCTACAGGTATTTCCTTCAATTACATATTCTCCTAGTCTCCTCGCAGCCGTTCTTAGTGGCGGGCTCCCTGTGGGGCGGGGGACAGGGAGCCCCCATTAAGAACGGCTGCAAGGAGACTAATATTCTCCTATCTTATTCAGATTTTCTCTCCCTTTTGCTATTCTCAAGTATGAAAATTATTCGGAATTTAACACCTTTTTACCTTAAGGAATACTTAGTTAGAGAATCGAGAATCTTCCGTCAATTAAAACAGCACCCATTCACCTTTAATGCAAATTGCCCATAGTATATAGCTTATCTAATTTTGTCAGATCAGTAATAAGGCATTATTAAAACGACTTGTTGATATATTAGTTGTTTGTACAGCTAACGCATTCTATGTGTCATTTAGCTCCTATGACCACAAAGAGAAGAGTTAAAACCACGTCACGACCCCCCTTAGGTTAGTGTTGCTTAATCAACAGATGTCATTTACAAGAAAGGAAATTTACGCCGCCTTCGATGTGTAAACCCTCATTTTAATGTCCCAGGCGTTCCTATAAAAAGATGAGAACTGAGAAGAATACTTCTGCTCAAAGCAGGCAGCAAGATGTATGCTTCACGGTATAGCAGCGACAATGTTACCAAGACGATCGCAGGATTCATACTCAACTCTCAGAAATGACTTATAATCACTACTTCTTTAATGTTTAGTCCCGTGAAGTGTCTCCGAGCCTGCAAACTCTAATAGAGTAATAATCGTTTTATTCCATAAATACCAGAAATGGTACATTAGAACATAAAAGTTAACCAAACAACAAAAAATATACTAGCTGTCTAAATTATTGTACAAATTTAGAACATTAAAACAATACTTCGCAGTAATATTTGCATTAAAGTCATCTTTCATTGACAATATATATATAGGAATAAGCAATGGTAACCCTAATATGTGCGGATTTTCCCCGTTAAGACGCGCATAAATGTTAGCAACTTCTCAAACGTCATTTTCTTTGTAGTCAAAACAGTCGATCCTGCTTGTGAGAAATTGATCCTAAACAGCTGTGATAACGTGGACTACGCCAATATAAGGCTGCCAAATGTTTTTGGTCACTCCAATCAGAACATCGTAAGACGAGCGATGAGACGCTGGGTTCCTATCCTTAGGACAGGCTGCTCGTCAGATTTGAAAGAGTTTCTTTGTAGAGTATATGCGCCACCTTGTCAAATTTCAAGACTTCCATGCAGGTAATTAACCCGGGTTTCTCCTGAGAAGGGCTTTGCTCTTGTAGGAATCCTACTTTCTAAATGTTTTGTTTCAACAGGTCGATGTGTAAGCGAATCAAAAAGCAGTGCCATAAAACGCTGAAAAGACAAAAATTAAAATGGCCGTCTAGTCTGCGATGTAGCATTTTACCAAGGAAAGGATGTTTTAATGGCCGTGCTGCAACGATGTCTACTGCCAAACCAACGCACCGACGACGACGTCCTTCACGTCCAACACGAAAACATACTTCAGGTATTAATCTTGATTGTCAGGACTAAAAGACTTGGGGTTGTAATAATGTGTATATTTGCCGTGTCTTTCATTAGGGTCGTCCTTCAATGGTTGTCAAGTCATAACAGTCCCAACTTGTAAAGGTGTGGGCTACAATCTCACGTCATTTCCAAACTACTTCAACCACCGAACTCAGGGAGAGGCAGGACTAGAGGTTCATCAGTTTTATCCACTTATAAAAGTCGGATGCTCAAATTATTTGAACTTCTTTCTGTGCTCTCTGTACGTTCCTCCATGTCAACAAAATGGCAATATGGGTAACATTCTTCCATGCCAGTCTCTTTGCGAGGCGTCTAGAAATGGTTGTGTTAAGTTAATGGAAAGGTTTGGTTTTAGTTGGCCCGAGTCAATATCTTGCTCAAAGTTTCCCAAGGATGACGGTCCAGTCCTATGTATGAAAGCACCCCATCTTAAACCAGGTAAGCCTAGTTTATTATCAGACGTTCCAAGCTTGTGGTTAACAATCCTCATCGTTATAGTTACTGCTATTGTATCTTAATTTGTATTGGTATTATCCAGGAAGTACACCAATGGTACCTCCAACACCTTTTCCAACAACAGAAAGACCTCAAATCAAAACTCCTCCACCACCAAGTAATAAGTATTCAGATCTTTGCGTTAGTTTATAGTTGTGTTTATTAATATATAAATTGAATTACTTTATAGTCGTAAAATGTTAGAAAACTCATTTAGGGTTTGAATAAAGTGACCGAGGCAATTTCCACTGTTTGACTCTAGATATTGTTTCTATATAGTTGACTTAATAATTCATATATTCATTATTTTGTAGCTACATCAACAGTATCTAATGTTTGCGAAAAGATAACGACTCCAATATGCGAAGACTTGGGCTACAACCTTACAGTCCCAAACTTACCAAGAAAGCAAAACCCCAGGACTATGCGAAACGTACTGCTTACTATTAAATCCAGATGTTCAAAAGACCTCTATAGGTTCCTGTGTATCGGGTATATGCCTCAATGTTCTGTTAAACATGGGTTGATACCTCCGTGTCGTGAACTTTGCTTACGAGCTAATAGTGATTCATGCGCGAGGGCAGTACTGGGAGAACTGGCAACCCAGAATTGCTGGAAATATCCGAAATATGGAGATCCTGGACGTCTTTGTATTGGAGTGAATAACCAAGGTAAGCTGTCGTACTAGAATGACAGTGATATAGAATGGCTTTACAACGAGAGCAGGGTGGACGGAGGGAGGAGGAAGGAGGAAATAAGGAGGAGGAAGGGGGGAGGAGGGCGAGG